CCGAGAGTGGACAGTCAGGGGGTGGTAAAGATGCTTTTGCAGCGAGGTGATGTCAATCTCGGTGCCCCAGACACCAGATACGGTCAAACACCACTCTCGTTGGCGGCTGAGAACGGGCATGAGGCGGTGGTAAAGATGCTTTTGGAGCGACAGTATGTCAATCCTGATCATGTAGGTGCCGGGTGCGGCCGAACGCCACTCTCGTGGGCGGCCGAGAACGGGCATGCGGGGGTGGCAAAGATGCTTTTAGAGCGACAGGATGTTAATCCCAACCATACAGACACCGAGTACGGCCGAACGCCGCTCTTGTGGGCGGCTGAGAACGGGCATGAGGGGGTGGTAAAGGTCCTTTTAGAGCGACAGGATGTCAATCCTAACCATGCAGACACTGAGTACGGCCGAACGCCACTCTCGTTGGCGGCTGAGAACGGGCATGAGGTGGTGGTAAAGATGCTTTTAGAGCGACAGGATGTCAGTCCCAACCATGCAGACGCCGAGTGGGGCAGAACGCCACTCTCGTGGGCGGCTGCGAACAGGCATAAGGAGGTAGTAAAGATGCTTTCAGAACGGAAAGATGTCAGCACTCTCTAAAGGACATGACGGGGTTGCGAGGATCCTACTGAAACAGGACATTGTCAATTCCGACGTAGCAGATTGCGGTGGCCAGCCATCCCTCCCGCCCTCTTCTCCGCACAGGGACAGGTGTGTAGAGACACAGCCCTGAGGTGGTGATCCTAATGGTGGCCTCACAAACCTTAGTGGCCAACCTGCACTCCTGCAGAGCCTGATGAGTTGGGAGGTAGTATACATTGGACCGTATGAGTTCCAAGTTATCTCCAAGTCCACAAGCACCCCCCCCCCTCCATATGGCGACTGAAGTCCGGTACCCCAAGGAAAACTGACACTCGCCCCAACAACACCTGGCCAACCCTCTCGATCGTGGTCGACCGTGGTTTTGTCGTTACGTCTTTCAATATTTTTTTTTACTTTCCTCGTTTATATCCTTCTTCTCTACCAGACATATTCTCATTCCATGAATAATTTCCAAGTCCGGGCTTAGTGCAGAAAAAACCTCCGCAGATTCAGATCCAAATTAAATAGACATTGCTAATGGGTGTTCTTTTCTGGTTTTATTTCCTTTTTTCGATTTTCGCCTTTTTCATTTCTCGGGGCTCCTGTCAGGTTTGGCCAATTTTTATCTTGCCTCTATTTACTTTATAATATTATTCACCGATATTTGCATTATGTTCCTAGAACAGTGGTGCACTGCCTATTACAGGCAAGTAATGGGTACGAGTAGATATAAATTTGAACAAACCAGTCCCATATCTGCCGGAAGGACGGTTTATCATCCCCTCCCAGGAATCCCCCTTAATACCGCCAAGTGGCCACCATCGGGTTCTCTCGCAGACCATCTATCATATACTACGATGCCGCCGGTACGATAAATACAGCCAATTCCAGGAGAATCCTAAAGGATCAAGTCCAAGTTATCACTGGAACACCGCTCACTCTGATACGTCAACAGGACCCCCACCCCACCCTACACACAACCTTTGCCCCCCCTTCATTGCTTAGATCTCGCACGATACGATACTATAGAAAAAGACAACCCTCCTATCTTCTTCCAAATGCTCTATCTATATACCTATAGGCGGAGCTCAACTCGGAGGTTAGGGCCCTCCCAGTCCGCCACCATCCCACCCTACTGATCACAATGCCATCTCATACATGGCCTAGATGCCTGATAAGGACCCCGAGGTGTGCTGGCTGAATGTGGCCGGTCCCCCGCACTAAACTTTTCCACGAAGGGAAAAGGAGAGCTTAGATGGTGGGTACCCATGTCTTCTCTACGCTCAATGAGATTTCGAGGAACGGTGGTTGAGGTATTATCGGGATACACTCTCCCCCCACCCCGATTTTCGCGCGATGTGATGGAAGAGCCGACCGAGACTCCCGAATGCCTGCCACTCCCCCGGTAACATACTTCTGGCATCTATCTGCATGTAAAGGATAATCAGGGAAAGGAAAAAAGAAAAAAAGAAAAAAAACGACCCCTACTTAATTATGTCGCGTAGCTGCAGCTACAGAGTGCACACTACCTCGGCCGAAAGCTAGACCTCGCTGGTATGATGCGGAATCCCTCGCTAGCCAGATCACGTCGAGCTATCTTCATAACGGGTCAGGGGTTAAAAACTCCGAGGCAGAGTACAGTACTATTATCTACACCGAGTGATATCCCATGACGACATACATCATGATAAGGGGAACCCCCCCACGATCCGGCAGCGCACCTCAACGGTTCGGCCATCCTATCGGGGGAATACTGTGTTGTCAAGTGGGAGCTTATGCTCACACCCCCCGCTGGGCTTACATGTCCGTTGTATGATATGATAATCTCTTTGAAAGTGGCTCTAGTCTTTTAAGTTTTAGCCCGGGGCGGATGACATTGATAACCTTCTTATTCTTCTATTGCACCTTGGCCATGTATTTTATAGCTCTACCCATCCGCACCACACGGCAGCAGGGTCGGAGAACTCTGTAGCCGGGAGTCTGTGCTCCATATTCAGTGCTGTGTGGTTAACCTGATGGTTTAATTTAGTTTTAGGAGCGTTCTGGTGGGCTCCCTAAGTTATTCTTCTGCTCTTAAGTTTTGATTTGTTCCTAGGCCCTTGGCAGTACTGGGGCCTAGATATTGTATCGATTTTGTCATCCAGATGGCATCCTTGTGATATATCCCCGGTAAGCATCCAACATGCAGACCCAAAGCTAGCCATCTCCACCATGTTTGACCGAGGTACGGAGCTCAACTTCCACTCCTCTCATACCTCCAGCAACACAGCCAATACGGATTCAGCCTCCTCTTCATCTCGCTCACAAGTACTCCAAACTGCAGACGCCCTCAAAGTAGACAACACCTCCTCCATCATAACAATAGGCATGGAGCTCGAATTCCTCATCATAAAAACCCCACACCCCCCCTTCCTCCCACCAAAGACCTCCATCTTAGAAGTAATCCGCGCTAACTTGCAAAACCTCTTCCGCTCGAGTGGCATAAGCATCCAAACCGAAATCTTCCCCCAACGAGCAAACGACTACCCGGGCCAAAGCAAATTCCAGTTAATGGAAGAGAAGAGCTGCGACCCCTCCCCCCCGACAAGGCCACGGGGGACGAAAATCCCGGGCGAGGCGGTAGAGATATGCACGCCGATAATGAGATTTAGAAGCTGGGAGTGGGTAATACCAACCGTATTCGAGTACCTGACAGGGCAGTTTGACTGTCGGTTCAACCCACGACGGGCCTGCACGTGCATGTTGGGCAGGGGTGCGGGTGGGATCTCAGCGCCATAAATTGATCGCAAAAGCAGTGATCGTTCTCGAGTCTACGCTGGATTACTACCACCCACTGCATCGCCGTCCATTTGGGGAATTGGTGCATAAACTCAAGTAGACACAATGGCAACCCCGTTACCCTCCAAAATCTGTCATAATGAAGAGGTTGGAATATGCGGGCACAGTACAGGAACTAATCAACCTGATCAGCCCCACAAGCTTTTCAAATACAACTTTAATTCGCTAAAGACACACGGAAATATGGAGTTCAGGCAGGAGGATGCGAGGATCGATATAGATCGGGCGGTCCAATGGATTAACCTTATTTTGTGCTTTATCACAGCGGCTGTGGAGGCCGCCCTGGAGGAGTTTGAGCTCTGGGCCGAGGACGAGGATCCCGCGGTTTGCTGCCCTCCTGGTGTTTCCGATAGGTTTGGTGTCCCATGGGTGGGCGCGCGGAACAGGTTTCATACCTATCGGATGTGGAGGCTGTAGAGAAGTGGGGCCTCGAGATCTCTCGAACGGTACGGGAGCCGGTAGATCCATGGACTAGGTTGGAAGCAGAGGTTAGAGTTGGGGAAGCGACTAACCCACCTCAAGTCCCTCACGAAACAAGCACCAGTGTTCCCAAGCGTCCAGTCCGTCCGTATTTCGCCTAGGACGGGACGGACGCCGAATTTGAGGCCTTTGCCCGGGACGGACGCCAAATTGGAGTCCGTCCTAACCCATGCCCGGGACGGACGGCCGGGCCCTACAGGTGTCTCATTTGACCCGCTATTTTTAAATATCATTGGTGTGAAGCCGGTGCTCGAGGTCACGAGAGACTTTAATTCAAATGCAAATAACATGATACTTTGACACCAGGTATCAAACGAGGTGATCAATCAACCAAGCTGTGTACTCATATCCGATCCCAGTTCTGAGCAACCTGAACCTGTCCCAGTTTCCTGACCTAATCTTGTTGTCCTCTCCTCCAAATCTCTAAGCATCTTCTCTACATCTGCCAGTGGCTTCTCTGCAATCAATCTTGCCTTCCGCCATGATTTCATACACTCAATAGCCTACGGGCAATCGGTAGGGCCCTACAGGTGACGCCCGTCCCCACCAATGACGCCAGGGCCCTACCGGAAGCTTCCGTTTTCAGTAAGACTGCTGGGCCCGGCCGTCCTCCCCCACCCTGCCCGGGACGCCCGGGACTATTGCCCGCCAGGGCCCTGCCGTCTGCCCGGGACGGTTGGGAACACTGACAAGCACCCATACAATGATAGAGGAGGTTAGTCTCTATCTCCTATCTCACGCTAATTGGCTTAAGACAGGACTAGGATTGCGAGGTAGGGGACTAACCTACCAAAAGGCTAACCCATCGTAGTTTATATTTCTCTACCGGCAGGGTGGTGGGGATGATTCTATTTTCCGTTTACCCAGCCACAGAACCTACGGCAACCTCTCCTACTTATTCCTCCACGGCCTCAAATGATATATTTGTCTCTAGGGATTATGTGGACAAAGCGAAATAGAGTCGTTTATTTTAGGTTGTGGCTGAAGTGTGCCGGGGTATTTGTAGAGTTTGAATTTAATAGATCTGATACTTCAATTGCCCTGCAGATTGAAAAAAAAAACACCGCAATATAGCCTATGCTATAGAATAGTAGTATTAAGAGTAACAGAACACCTTCCTAAACCAGGGAAAATTTATATAGGAAGACCCAAATAGTATCCATAACTTTCCTAATAAGGATGATCAACCCCGACGTAATTTACATCCTTCTCCCAGCTCTCTCCTCCCCCTCCCTTCCTCCTGGGTATCCCATGTCTAATCTCTAAATTTTATGGCTATCTTAGCCGAGCCTCTGAAAAGAATCTCTAACTGAAATACCCTGCCAGCATAAACTCCATCTTCTCCACCGCCTCGGTGCTTCTTCCAGCAGACACTGTATAACATACCCACTTAGATAACCCCTCCAAGTGCTTTGCTTCCACATGATGCCGGGGCCCTCTCTTCGTTCCAATTCCCACCTCCATGCCTGGCAGATTTGGATGCTGGGGAATTTCCCCTCTCGTCGTTTTCCTTGTCGTGGGCAATCTGGAAGGAAAGTGGGATGGCACGTTGGAAACCTGGAGAATCCTCGGTAGAGAGTGAGCTAGCGTCTTTGTCTTGATCTTCACCTCCTTCGTTATGGCAGCTGCCGGGCTCGTGTCCCGAGGACTCGGATATCGACTGTTCTTCAATCCCATGCTGATCTATAAGTTTGGAGGATTCATATTCTGGCGCTTCATCCTCATCATCAGGGTCGTCCTCTTGGTCGTCATACCAGGCTGGCTCTTCATCCTCTTCACACTTGTAATTGGAGTCCTCCTGATCTTCCCCACCCTCATCTTTCCCCTCTTTTCGAGTCATGTCCTGCAAAGACCTCTTCACTGCAATTGCCAAGTCTCGCTGGTACCATTGATCAGCCGGACTCATGCGTGGTGTTTTATCTTCTTCACTCTCGTAATCGGGGTCCTCCTGGTCTTCCCCATCTTCATATTTCCCCATCTTTCGGGCCATGTCCTCCAAAGATCTCCGCATTGCAATTTTCAAGTCTCGATTGTAACATTTTTCAGCCGCACTCTCGCGTGGTGCTTCATCCTCGTTATCAGGGTCGTCGTCCTCATCCTCATACTCGGCTGGCACTTCGTCCTCATCAGGGTCATCAGCTTCATCTTCATTGTCAGCTGGCACTTCGCCCTTTTCATCGTCGTCATCGGTGTCCTCCTCATCACTGCCCTCGCCGCCAGCGGCTGTCTCAAGATGCCGTGAAGTCGGTGGATTATTTGCAGCCAAATATTTATCCTCGTCCGGTGATTCCGCCTCCACTCCGCCTCCGCCTCGACATCCACCCACCCCGCCCCGGGAGCCACTCCCAAGCTGATGATTGGCTAAATACTGGGTGTGTGTCTCCTCGCAAGCGTATGTATTAGCCTCCGGAAATGCCGCCAATGAGAGAGCCCTCCTCTTTGGAGCGGGGCCGTATTCTTCATCGTCGTATTCAGTACGCTTCCTCTTGAGAGTCGGGCCATTGTACTTGGATGGGAACGGGGCTCTAGCGGAAGTCACTCCATCCTGGGAGCAGGAGGGGGTAACTTTGGAGGGAGGTAGGGGGTGCCCCACCCGCCTGCCAATCCTGAGCTTCTTGGCCCGAGGGAGGTTTTCGGGGTCGTATCCTGCCTCACTTAAAAGTAACTTGAGTCTCAAGATTTCGGATTCTTGCCTCTCTATCTCTCTTCTACGCCACTTGTTGATCTCTCTGAGATCTTGGTTGCGACGCATGAGAAACTCGAGGTGCCCGTCCTTTTGCGCGTATAATCTTTTGAGTTTCCTGACGGCCCCGGGGGGAGCTAAGAATTGCTCCAGGAGTTCTTGTTCGGTGGCTCGTATGTTGGATTCAGACATGCTGTGGAGGGGTGGGTGGTTAGCTGAATATAAGATTACATAGAGGAGAGAAAGGAGATTGCTTACATGTTTCTCACGGTGTTTAAAAGTAGTTAGATTGTGAGAAGGTATCGTTGAGATGTGGTGATTTCTGTACTCGAGCGGCAGAGAGGAGATAACTGAGAGATTCTGTTCGTGTTGCTGGTTATACAGAGTGAGGAATGTGGTTGAGGAAGGGAAGGGAGTAGTGTTCTGGATGCGGATATATATACCTTCCCAGAAAGGGAGTTAATCCCGTGGATTCCATTCATTGGGAGCACTGAGAATGGCATCGAGCTTGATTCTTGGGGCATTAATAGGAATCGAGCGAGGGATCCCGTTACCAACTCCCTAGCTATTGTCCTTGGCAGCCAGAGCACAATGGCAGCTCAACCGAACACACTACTCCGAGTATATTGCCTATAAGTAAATGGGGAGCCCACTTATAGGCCCACGGTATTGATAAAGCCATTGATGAATCCATTGATGAATGTCATATGATATATGTCGTTATTACCAGATTAGCGGGCGATTGCCATTGAGCTCAACTTCAAGCTCGAGGCTATTGCCAGTCACAACTCATCACGAGCCCTGGCTGGAAAGGGAGATATGTAGGGTTAGGGCTTCCGTGAAGAGCCCCCAACTATGGTACTTGATAATGGCGCTACTAAGTGGACTAGATACTATGCCGATGGAAACATAGGAGAAAATTAGGAGTGAGCCAATGGATCACTTTTGGGTGTCCTCATCACGCTCTATCCAGCCCTTAGTCTATCCTCAAAGGACCGGTGAAAACGTGCACGGAAGCACTTTGCTACGCTCCGGGGCACACCGACATGTGATGCTTTGGCATCATATCGGACCATGCTATTCTGCGCTTCAAAACCCGAACCGGTAGGATTCCCGAGACCTGAGAACCGTTAGTGTTACTTCCCCTCAGTCGTCTAGACCTTTCAGATCCCATTGGCTGCTCGGGCTGTTCTTCCTCTTGTTATTTCCGTACATATTCACGATTTCATCCTGCCCAGCCCCCATATCCACTGCTCCATTTCTCGTGTCCTTGGCCCCCGTGGCATGCCCACAAAGCTGGCGCAATATGAGGGAAACCTGTTGGGCGGTGAGGGTACATATCCGGCTGAAGAAGAAAAAGCGCAAGGAAAAGAGCAAGTCTGAAGGAAATAAAGAGAATGTGGCGCTAAGGGTAGCTGGGTGGCCTCCGATGTCATATCATACTACTCGTACAATACGTGAGTTGCGATCCTCAACTTGGACCAGGGG